CTTGATTATTTCTCATGTGCTTGTCCAGTTTTTAAATTACCTAAGCCTTCTCTCCTCTATGGTTCAGGACTTTATTTTCTAGTTTATCACCCTTTTTCCTCCGGGGTAGGCAGAGTAAGGGACAAAGTACCTAAAGTTCAAAACAGTTCTTTTTGCTACTTGTTATATCAGCTTATTTTAACAAAACTTGTCTTCCTTTCTCTCTGCTGTTGATAAACTATATTAAGCACTTGCAGATGATTTCCAGACTTGTTTATATCATTTTAACACTTTAGGATTCTCACCATGGCCTTTAACCAAGTTAGATTCGCTTGCTTCTTTAAATGTCCACTATTAATGAGCTTTCTAATTCTGTTTCCTTGCTTTTTCTTAAGTGAAAGATGAATTAAAGGATAAGATTGCTTACCCCCACCACCATAAGACTAAAATTCAGAGTGTATAAGACTTAAAAGTGAGGATTTCATATCTTTGGGGCTCTGTACTCACCAATGGTCACCATTCATTTTAAAGGCATGTTGAAACCAAATCATGGAAAATACCAAAGCACACATTTAAAAAAATTCAGTGGATCCACTGAGGCATAGTAATGATCAAGTAGACTGAGATCCTAGGTCTCTGACAGGCAGAATGTGACAAAAGTCTGGTTCAGATGCTTCCTAAATGCCAGGCTTCGCCAGTGGAGGGAAGGAATAAAAACGAAATGAAAGACTGGTACTGCAGAGCTGCTAATTAAAACAATTCAGAGAACATAAATGCTAGAGTAATTTTGGACCTGCCATATCAGGCTGGTTTCAATGCAAATGCAGTGTTCCGATTTCTTCCTTCTTTAGGAAGATATAATTAGCTCAGCTGCAACAGGGTGGAAGCTTTGAGGCGGCCATTTCCTGGTGCTGCCAGCTCCCCCATGATGGAGGAACAGCTGCCATCCGCCCCTCCTGCCCTGGATCACACAGAGCTGGGGCCACCCCGCACGGCAGCTCACAAGCCACCATGAGCAGAAGACTCAGGCTGCCAGCAGGATTGGTTCTTGCTTAAAGATAAAGAACATGTAACTCCTTAATCCAGTTGACTCCATGCCCAAACAGCAACTTTCCATGGAAGATACCCTTGGTGAAGACAAAAGTCCTCCTCCACTACTGTGCAGGAAGGATATTAACAGTGGTGATGATGACAGCCCACATCAGACACAGCAGTTCCCCACCTTGGAGTGTGAAGACTTTTGAAGAAATTGAGAACAAAATAACTACAAAAATGTGCCCACAAATGAGCTGTAAGGAGAACAGATTCCCCAGCTTCCATGGCAGAAAAGATGAAGAGAAACCCTGATGGGGACGGGCTTAACACTAAGCTTATGGATGATTCAACAGGTGGGTAACTTACGTGAAAGCAAAAGTGTCCTGGGAGATAGCCACACAAAGTCATGCTGGACTCACATGCAGAAACAGAACAAAGGCTTCTACTTGTTCATTGGACAAACTCAAGAGAATGAACTCCATGGATAGGAGTTCGTTTTGGTATTTGAATAAGCAAAGATATTCTACAAATGAGTTCTATGACAGTAAATACTTTAATGGAACCAAAAAGTAGATTGCCATTTGAAAATTTTAGAGATAGCAAAATGAAATTCATAATTTCTTATTTTTTCTAAAGTGAAGTCGCCCAGTTGTGTCCAACTTGTAGCGACCCCGTGGACTGCAGCCTACCAGGCTCTTCCATCCATGGGATTTTCCAGGCAAGAGTACTGGAGTGGGTTGCCATTGCCTTCTCCAGGGGATCTTCCCTACCCAGGGATCAAACCTGGGTCTCCTGCATTGTAGACAGATGCTTTACCATCTAAGCCACCAGGGAAGTCATTTTTTCTAAGCTACTACTAAATCGGCCAGTTCTTAAGCTCATCATCCACTTTGTACCAAATCCCACCCGGCCCACCTGTCACAGAGGTCAAGGTAAGGCTGGTTCTTTCTCCTCATCCTCAATGGGAACAACAAACAACAAAGTGAACATATAAACCTTGCAGCTGCAACTGAGTAGGGTCCATGGCGGGGGGATTAAATCAATGTGGCACCTGAAGCACATCATTTCTTAATGACTGGGATAGTTCTGTGAAGAACATTAACAAATAAAGAAACTGGGAATCATTACTTCCTCCAATCTATTCAGAAGGAAATACTTCAAGAAAATGTCACTAAATGGAGGATTTTCTTTTTAACAAAGTCAGAATATACAGTAGATGACAAATGACAGGGTTTTAAAATGCATAAATGACCAAGGCTAAATTCTCATGTCTATAATGATGGTCATTGCTTTGCTAGTATTTTTAAAGCTTTTAAAATCAAGATATAATTCTTCTACCATGATATTTACCCTTTTAAAGTACGTGTTCAGTGATTTTTATTATATTTACACACATACTAAACACCCATCACACTACACAATTATAGAACATTTTCATCACTCCAAAAAGAAATTCCATATCCAGAACCAATCATTTTTCATTCTCCATTGTCCTCTAGCTTCTGGCAACAACTAATCCACCTCCTGTTTTGTGGATTTCCCTATTCTGGATAATCCGTATAAATGGAATCATGTAGTATGTGACCTTTTGTGCTTGGTTTCCTTCACTTAACCATAATAATGTTTTCAAGGTTCATATTGTAGCATGAATCGGTACATCATTCCTTTTAATTAATTAATAATAGTCCATCATACTGATGATCACATTTTGTTTATCTGTTTACTATTTGATGGACACTTAAACTGTTTCCACTTTTGAGCTATTATGAATAATGCTGCTATCTCATTTGTGTACCTGTGTGTGTGTGTGTGTGTGCATGTGTGTGTACATGTGGTTTTAATTCTCTTGGGTATATACCAAGGAGTAGAATTTCTGAGTTATATGATGACTCTCTGTTGTACATTTTGAGGAACTGCCAAACTATTTCTAAAGCAACTACACCATTTTACATTCCCACCAGCAATTTATGAGGGTTCCAATTTCTCCACATCCCTGTTAACACTTCTTATTGTCTGTTTCGCCCAGTGGATGTGAAGGGGTACCTCATTGTGGTTTCGATTTCCATTTCCCTAATGACTGATGATGTTGAGCATCATTTTATGTACTTATTGGCCATTTGTATATTTTCTTTGGGGGCACCGAAAGAAACTTAAATCTTTCATCTATTTTATAATTGGGTAATTTATCTTCATATTGTTAAGCTTTTCAGTCATTTTCTTCAGAATTATTTTTATAGAGATTGTAGAAAAGGACACTGAGTTCCACCTCGTTCAGTCACAGCTTTGAGAATGAAGCATAGCTTTATTGATCTGGACAATGATATAAAGTTGAAAATATTTACTGAGCACTTATTTTGTGCCAGACCACTCTGAAACCTTTATTAACTTACTGTGAAAGGGACAGCCATTGCCAGGGCCACATGTTTCTTCCCTGGATGCTCATCAAGATCAGTAAAGATTGTTTTTAAGGAAGAACCTATGTGTTCATTTGTCTCCTGGGACAGGGAAATGCCCCCATCTCTCCACTTCCTGCCAAGGAAGCAGAGCTAACAGAACACACATCCATTGGCATGTAACCTCCTGCCAAGTTTTAGCTTTCTAGACCAAACTAGTCATCACTAGACTTAGAACAGGTGCTTATCAAAATGCTTATCACAGTGTTTATCAAAATGACAAAGGAAGAAACCCCACAAAACAATCCACAGAAGAATTTGCAGCTAGGCAATGGGTTCATTGTCTTAGACTAATCGTAGCAGTCAGCTCAGCTAAAAGGCAGACATTGAGGTGAGGGAGGCTTCAAGGGGGAGTACACGAGACAAAAGGAGGAGGTTCTTGCTCAAAGATACATCATGATGGGAGGAGCAAAGGCAAGGACAGGCATGTTCTTCACCAGGCCCAATCTAGTACAGAGGTTAGTTCAGTTATGGGTTTTATCTTTCTAGGTGATATATTTCTAGAACACTTATTTCTTTTCTTCCTTACATCCTTCTGCCCTTAAAAATCAAGCATGACAACAAGAAAAAAAATGGGGGGTTTGAGATGGGAGAACACAGCCCCAAATCTTCACTTTCAATATCAGAACTTCCCAGTTTCCAGAAATGACCCTTTTCCCTCATACCCGAGTTCTGAGATCTCAGTTAACAAATCTAATATTCCAAGGGGGCCAACTCCAGGTGATCAGTGGATTTGCATCACTGAATACAATTCTAGCCGTTAGCATGTTAAAGGGTGGAACCCCAGACAGACCGGCTAGGACAGAATCTCTTACCAAGATGGCCACCAACCAAGATGGTTCTCAGCGGGAACTTCCAACGTCTTAGGGTACCTTCATTTATGTGAACAAGTTCACCTAAAGTCAAACCTCAAACAAAAGGCTCCAGGCATAATTTCACAGGATCAAAACCAAACCTCTAAATCCTTTAGCTTTATGGCCTCCTAAAGTCCTCAGGCTTCCCCTGGCACAACTCTCATGTTGAAATCTTTCTCTTGACAATATCTGGAGAACCATGGAAAGGGCAGGATGGTGTTGCGGGCTGAATTACGTCCTCCCCAGATTTACATGTAGAAGCCTTAGCCCCTAGTATCCCAGAATACTGTTGTATTCCGAGATGGGCCTTTAAAGAGGTGATTAAGCTAAAATGAGGCCATTACGGTGGGCTCTAAGCCAGTCTGCCTGGCATTCGTATAAGAAGAAATTTAGACACAGAGAGAGACCCCAAAGATGTACGCGCACAAAGAAAAGACCGTGTGAGGCTGCACACAGCAAGAAGGCACAGACTGCAAGCCAAGGAGAGAAGCCTTAAAAGAAACCAACCCTACAGTCACCTTGACCTTGGACTTCCAGTCTCCAGAGCTGTGTGAAAACCATCTTCTGCTGTGCAAGCCACTGAGCCTGTAGCATTCTGTGGTGGCAGCCCTAGCACATGAATACAGGGGGCCCCCAGGGAGGAGGGTCCTGGGGCCTCCTCAGGGGTGTAGCCACTCACCCTGTAGTAGTCAGTGCTGTACACGTCCCGGGACATGCCGAAGTCCCCGATCTTCACTAGGAGGTTCTCACCCACCAGGCAGTTCCGGGTGGCCAGGTCCCGGTGCACGAAGTGCTGCGACGCCAGGTAGACCATGCCTGCAGCGATCTGCTGGGCGATGTGCAGCATCTGCGATTGCGTCAGCTCCGTCGGCGGGTTGCCCTCGGCCATCAGCACGGCATCTGGTCCGTGCGCCCTGGGGAGGACACGAAAGGCCTCGTGGAGCCTTGGCTCTTTGCCTTGACGGGTCCTGTGCCCCTCATCGGCTGCTGGTGTGGGAGGATACTGCTTGCCTTAGCGAAATAGGAGGCAAGGACAATCCAGCCATAGTTTTACCTCCAAAGCCTCCAGAATACCCAGGCTTCATTTCCCAGAAAGTCTAACATTTCCAGGACCCCGTGGGCCTGAACAGTGCTCCCTCAACATACAGACAGGTTCACCTTTTAGGGCTCTGGAACTATGCTGGGGTCAGGCACTGGCTAGATTCCAAAACCCTAGAAAGCAGTGGGTGGCTGAAGCAAAAATCAAGTGAACAACAGCAACAACAACAAAAAAATGCAAATTAAAATAAAACACTGGGGGAGAGTTTCACTCTCCTGGGGTCAGGGGTCACTGCACCCCAGCAGGAGCCCCAGCACTCCCCCTCCCAGCCACGTCCTGCACCAGAGGGCCCTCACCCAGGCTGGTTCCTCCAGAGTGCAGCTCTCATCTCCCCCACTTCACCCATTCCATGGCCTGGCATGGTTTCAAGCTACACTTGTTATCCTCAAGCCCAGCTCAGCAGAATAACTGAGCATCCTCATCCCAGGCATTCATTCCCAGTGAAAAATGCCATCTCCTTCAGCTCACCCCCATCCCTGATCTCCAGCTCCATCTGCACTGGCCGCCACAGAGGGCAGCTTTTTGAATCACAATACATTTATTCTCTCACTGGGGCAACTTTTATTCTCCATACTATGTGTGGTGAGTGGTGAAGTGTGGTGCTGTTGTATATCTTCTTTATCATCCAGTTTTTTCCCAGCTGTGCTGCAGCTTAAGGCATCTGAACAGTGGCTTGTGCTTCAGAGAAGGGAGGGTCTCAGTCTTAGGATGCCATTGTTAACCCCTTACCTCCACCCCACATTCCCCAACTTGGAATCCTGCCTGGTGAGCTAAGACTGGAATCATTGCCCTGATGGACTGAGGGGGCACTGGAGGGCCAGGGAGAAAGGCTACTTTTGCTGCCGGACCTGCCAGGACAGTCTAAGGGCTTCTGCCTCCCAAAGGCAAACGAGGGAGAAGATCCTTCAGGACAGTTGGAAGCACTACAAATAAACATGAAGTTGCTCAGTCATGTCTGACTCTTTGTGACCCCATGGATTGTAGCCCACCACGCTTCTCCATCCATGGGATTTTCCAGGCAAGAGTACTGGAGTGGGTTGCCATTTCCTTCTCCATCAAATAAACACAGAAGATTCTAAACAAATTTTAAAGTGGGTGACCCCATCCACAGTGTTCCAGAGCTGTATCAGTATTTGAAAATAAGAGCCAGAATTATCCAAGAACATCCAACTCGTTTTGCCCCTCCTCCTACAGGCCAGTCCCACAGCCCCTCCCACCATGGCTCCAGCCACAGTGGCTCCCAGATCACACTGTCACCAGATATTTTGTTCTTGCATTTTCAGAGAATAAGCACTGGACAGGGAGGTGGGGAATTGCCCAGTTCTGGCTGTGTCCAGCCCTATGACCCGGGAAAGTCTTTCAGCAAGTCGTTTGTTGTTGCTGCTGTCTGATTCTTTGTGACCCCCATGGATCGCAGCACACAAGGCTTCCCTGTCCTTCACTATCTCCTGAGGTTTGTTCACAGTCATGTCATTGAGTCAATGATGCCCAATCTGTAATTTTCTCATTAGTCAAAAATCCAAAGTTCTATTATGTTGGGTTATCATTTGGTTTGGCTGTGGTTGCTAAGTTGTGTCTGACTCTTGTGACCCAGTGGACTGTAGCCTACCAGGCTCCTCTGTCCATGAGATTTCCTAGGCAAGAATACTGGAGTGGGTAGCCATTTGCTTCTCCAAGGGATCTTCCTGATCCAGGGATCAAACTTGGATCTCCTCCATTGCAGGTGGATTCTTTACTGACTGCGCCACTGGGGCTGTCATTGAGGTTCCTTTTATCGAAAAACACCTGGATATAACCTTTCCTGTTTTTGTACAAGGCAAATCCTGACACATTTATTTCACCTCCATTCAAACTCCAGCTCTGACTGCCAATGGTCACACGGAGGAGAATACAGGAAAAGCCTTGACTTTTTTCTGCTCAGACTCTCTCACTGGAGTAAGAAGTCTCACAGTGCAGGGGCCAAGGTTCTATGTTACCAGAAATAAATTTGATCTCCTTTTAACATGCTAGTTTTGACCTCAGTGGGTGCAGACATCTCTGGGCCTGCTTCCTCATTCTGTAAACTGGGGATACTGACTATACCTTCCTAATAAGATCTCACTGACAGACAGAAGATGCTTTAGACACTGCTTGTATGGTGCCTTGTGGATTTTCACTTGAAAGCCAGAGGGAAAGGCTTTGAAACAAAGTTTTCCTTAAAAAAAGAAATGCATGGTGATATGAACACATGCATTATCCCCTGTGCATTTCTTTTTGTGGTTGGCCTGTGATGAGGCTCTCAGAACTGGCCCCATCCCCTCACTAAAGGTTACTCAAGCTCAATCCTTCCTAGCACTAAAGGGGCAGGGGAAAGTGACAGTATTTTCACTCATCATAGGCAACTCCAGGAAAGGGATCTAGAGATGCACATAAATTATGAGAAATCCTGAAACACCCAGAAAATGTAAGCCAGGGTGAAATCATCACAGATTCAGTTCAGAGAGTGGACTACTGTGATGACAGGTAATCTGTGGCTGAAATAAGGCTGTGTACCCTCTCACCGACGTGATGGACATGAATTTGAGTAGGCTCTGGGAGTTGGTGATGGACAGGGAAGCCTGGCGTGCTGCAGCCCATGAGGTTGCAAAGAGTCGGACGTGACCAAGCCACTGAACTGACTGACTGACTGACTGACCCTCTCCTATGACGGGTGCATGTGTACTCATGAGGTTGTGTGCAGGCATTCCAAGTTGCTTCAGTCATTTCCAACTCTCTGCTACCTTATGGGCCATAGCCCTCCAGGCGCCTCTCTGTCCATGGGATTCTCCAGGCAAGAATACTGGAGTAGATGTTGTCCCCACAAACTTTCTTCTCTGACACATTTTCCTCTTTATTTTGGTGGATGGATCCATAACCCTGGGAGTTTCACCTGCTGCATTGTGGCAGCACCTGGACTGCTCTGTCCTCCAGTTTCTACAGACACTGGGGAGAGCCTTCCACAAAATTAGCACTGGGCGCTTCACGGAGCCACTGGAAGTTTCAGGAACTGTAGGATTTAAGGAACAAGTCAATTGCCTAGAGAAAGTGGACGGGGGAAAGGGTGCTGCTCTGTTCAGAAATGGTACCCCATGGCTTGTGCAGTCTGGATCATTTTGACCCTCTATAACCTCACGAATGGGGCTTCCTAGGTGGTAAATAATCCACCTGCCAACACAGGAGACCTAAGAGATGTGGGCTCAATCCCTGGGTAGGGAAGATCCCCTGGAGGAGGGCATGGCAACCCACTCCAGTATTCGTGCCTGGAGAATCCCATGGACAGAGGAGCCTGGTGGGCTATGGTCCATAGGATAGCAGAGAGTTGGAAACGACTGAAGCAATTTGGCACACTTGCACACAACCTCATGAATACACATGCACATGTGATAGGAGAGGGGACACAGCCTTATTTCAGCCCCAGAAATCCAGACTCCTCTAAGAATCTTTCTGTGACAGAGACTTTAGGAAAATAGAAAAAGTTAGAGGCCAGTGCAAAAGGCCACCTCTGTGTGTGCAAACCCCCCATCCTGCAGCAGTCCGCTCCACAGGCCGAGAAAGCAGGCGCTCTCCAGGGCCCCCTGGGGGGTGGGGCAGGCTCCTGCATCATTAACCAGACATTTCTCCTGCTCTGTCCTGGGTATCTTGAGTAGAAAGTCCTGGTGTAAAAAGAGGACAGGCAAGGCTTTTAAATAAGTTCTTAAGAGGAGTGCAAGCAAAGGTGACAACACCTCTCTGCTTCACTCCACAGGGTACCCTGCAGCTCTTGGAAATAACAACATATTTCACCTCTTTCAGGAGAACATGCCTCAAGAGGGGAGAGCCCCTCTGGGCTTGGGAAGCAGGTAGCAGGGTCAGGATTCTGACCAGGGAGGCTTCCCTCCCTGCCTTGGCCTGTTGTCTCCTAGTGTGGGTGGCAGAAGCACTCAGCCACACTCTTGTGGCTCCAGAACACTACAAAACACTGCTTCCCTCCTGGTTTTTCATGGCCCCTTCAAGAGGAAGTGTTGATGTGGTTGAGACAATGGGGTTTGCAGCCAGGGGCTGTGGGTTTGAACCTCAGCTCTAATTCACTAGTCATGTGACTGCTTTTTCAACTATGTACTGTGGATGTCGGTGTGCTAAGTCGCTTCAGTCCTGTCTGGCTCTTTGCAACCCCATGGACTGTAGCCCACCCATTTCCTCTGTCCATGGGATTCTCCAGGCAAGAATACTGGAGTGGGTTGCCATGCCTTCCTCCAGGGGGTCTTCTCCACCCAGGTGTCAAACATGCGTCTCTTAGGTCTCCTGCATTGGCATGTGGATTCTTTACTGCCACACCACACAGGAAGCCTCAGGGACAATGGTAATAATAGCTAATTAAGTTGATACATTTAAAACATTTAGAATGCTTAGAAAGACTCAATAAATAGCTGTTTTGTTTGACCTTGCCACGAGGCTAGAGGGATAATAGTTCCCCAATCAGGCATTAAACCTGGCTCCCAGCAATCAAAGTGCCTTGTCCCAACCACTGGACTGCCAGGGAACTCCCAATAAACAGCTGTTATCACTTGAAAAAAGGACCCTTTTCTATATTCCCTTCATTGGAAGGTAATTCAGGAGAATTCTAAGAGGAAAAATTGTAATCTCCTTGAAAGCAAGGACCAAGCTTGACTCCTCATCTCCCAGTCAACCTAACATAAGGCCTGTTCCTGTTGGTCCTCAATGGCTTTGGGATGAATAAAAGGGGTGGGAGGATAACTCTAGACATCTCTCTTCACAGAGAAGTTCCAATGACACTTGAGGACACAGTTCATGGCAGCATAAGGACATGGTTCCCTCCCAGAAGGAGAGGACAGACTGTAGTTCACAAGCACATCCTTGCACCTGAGAACCTGATTCTTGGCATAGAAAACCTTTTGCTCCCAGAATTCAGGAGGTTCTGAAATTGAGCAGAAGAGGTTTTCAACAACTCCCTGCCCTATACAAGCTGCCAAGGGAGAATCAGGTGCCTGCTCCTGGAAGGCACAGAGGAGAACTAGGGATGGAGCTGAGACTGAAGGAATCAACACACACACACACATACACACACACACACACATACACACACACACATGCACAGTCTGAGCTCACAGAGGCATTTACTTGAATCCAGGTGAATACATTTGAATTTATTTTTCTACAGTTTGGGGAAAGCAAAGCATTTTAAAATAGGGACATAGCCTAGAACATGGGAATAGAAGGAAATTAGTTCTATAAGCAGCTAGATCTCAATTAAATGCAGCTTCTTTTCTTCCTTTCACATTAGAGGAGTCAAACTGTGTATAAGCTCCCACTGTCCTCTCTCCTACCACCTGTGTATGTGTATTCATGAGGCTAGAGATGGTCAATGATCCAGACTGTACAAGCCGTGGGATGCCACTTCTAAACACACTAGTACCCTCTCCCCATTTCATTTGCTGTCAGCAATTGACTTATTCCTTAAATTCTACATTTCCTGAACTTTCCAGTGGCTGCATGAAGCCACTGGTGCTGACTGTAATGGAAAGCTCTCTCCAGGGCCTGTAGAAACTGGAGGAAGACAGAGTAGTCTAAGTGCTGCAGTAACGCAAAAGGTGTCACTTTCCCAGGATTATGGATCCCTCAACCAAAATGAAGAGGAAAATGTGTCAGAGAAGAAGGGCTATGGGTGCAACATCTATTGATTACCTGCCATCACAATGGGTTTCCCTGATGGCTCAGACAGTAAAGAACTTGCCTGGAATGCAGGAAATCTGGGTTTGATCCATGGGTCTGGAAGAGCCCCTGGAGAAGAAATGCCTATATACTCCAGTACTCTTGCCTTTAGAATCACATGGACAGAGGAGCCTGGCAGGCTACAGTCCATGGGGTCGCAAGGAGTCAGACACGACTGAGCAACTAACAATATGTTAGCCTTTTCTAACACACAACATTAGCCATCACAATAGTCCTAACACCAGTCCATGAGATGGGTGTTATTATACCCCTTTTAGAGGTGAGGAAACTAAAGCCAGTTGGGGAGCATCTTCCTTATTTCTCTGAAGTTAAACTATCTACCAAGAAATCATAGCTAACAACTGCTAATCTTTCAAAGATTAGTTACATTTTAAAGAAAACAACACATTAGAGCCAGATGTGTCTTTGAGAAGATCTAACTCAGACCCACCTGAGGGTTGAGGTGATTGAGGGAAAGTGGGTTGGGGACCCACCCAAGGGCCTCAAGCAGCTGATCCAGAACAGAAGGGAGAACTGTGTCTTCCAGACCTTACCACTGAGACTTACTATTTTCCCCATTGTGTAAAATCTTAAATGTGTGGCTTCCATTTGCACGTCTGCTTAATGTAAATAAAAGCATCACTTGATTTCCTTCACCAAGGAGTATCGGGATCAACACACTTATTCTTGCCCCTGGTAGATGCAGGATAAGAAAACTCACTACGGGTTCCAGTAGGGTGACCACAACCATCCTCTATCTCCCTCATCAAACCCAGCCACCTTTCAGTTTCCCTCACTGAGGTAGTTGGTGTATGAGTAGAAATCATTACTAGCAGGATTCAAGCTTCTGCTTGTTGAAAATGTCCTACTGGCTTCTATGCCACGAGCTTTCTATTCATTCTAATTCAGCCTCATGCATGCTCTGCTGGCTCAGTAGTGTCATCAGAAGAGCTAAGAGACTTGCCCGAGGTCATTCAGCTAATACATGTCAGAGCTGAGATTCAACTCCAGCTCAGCATCCTGCCTGGATCATTAGTGTCCCCTCAAGAGACACTGCTCTGCGATGCCTTTCACTTTGTGAGGTATCTCTCACTTGCTCTATCCTGCAGCCCCTCCCAGGCCCCTGCAACCATTGCCCCAAGGAAGGGACCTGCCGGAGAACCTGCCACTGAAACCAGACCCAGTTTGGCCAGTGCTGGAAATCCAAGTGACAACCCTATTTAGCAACCCAACAACTCCCTTTTATCCGCCATGCTTCCCCTTTCCTCATTTACCACCTTCCAGTTTCTCCCTGACTACACAACCCCCAGGTGAAGCCGGCCATCTTTTCCTGGCTTCAGGGACTTGACTTGAGTCCCAATCCTGGGTCTTCCCTGGACCTGTCCTCCCTCCTAGACATTTCACTCTTTTGATGGTGTTCTTTTCACTCAATCCTCTGACCTACTGACCTCCTGGTTCTGCTTTCTGACCTCAGAACAAAGTCCAAATGTCCATCTGTCCAGGGATGATGACTCCTACCTCCTTGCCCCAACCTCCCCTCGCCCCGGTTTTTTGCATTGTTGGGTGTCTCCAAGACTCATCACTCTCAGCAGCCCAAGACGTTCCCTGTGACGCCCGGGAGTCTGAGCTCTTGGTGTTTTCTTTATCAGAACAACACTCTTCCCTTATTCACCAGGCAAACTCCTACAGATCCTAAGGCCCATCTCAGATGTACATGTCATGTACCATTTAATAAAGCAACATTCAATAAATGCAGGTGGGAATCATTAGTGTCACATTAGTAGAGTTTGTTAGTTCAGGGAAAGAAGCAATGCAGTGGACTTGGGTTTTTTTTCTGTGGCAGGCACTGGTGTTGTCACCAGGATAGGTGGTTCCAGAGAAAGGTCCTGGGGCCCTTTGGTCATTCCTGGGAACTTCTTGTCCTCACCCCCAGATCGTATGGAGCCTACCTCCCACCTGGCTCCCGGGGCCTCCCTTACCTGAGGAATTTGTTGAGGTCCCCGTGCTTCATGTACTCGAAGACCATTATGAGCGGGTCGCCCTCCACGCAGACACCATAGAACTTGACAATGTGCTCATGCTGGAGGTTGGTCAGCAGCTCGGCCTCGCGGTGGAAGTCCTTGCGTGCATTGTCGCTGGCATCCTTCAGAGTCTGAGGATGAGAGGCAGAGAAGAGAAACCAACACAGCTTTCTTAGACTGAGGGCGTGAGAGGGAAGCTGTCAAGAAGGAACTATTCTAGGGGGCTTGAGGTTCCTAGATGGGGAGGACATTCATCTCATGTATCACACACTCAGGTATCAAAAAATTGAAAACAAATGGCCTAATTCCTGAGGAAAAAAATGTTTGTATGAAGAACTGAGGAAAAGTTCCTTCTGGATATGCAAAGTTTTTACAGTTTACGAAGCATTTGCATAGGTGTTCTCCATTAAGCAACTGACATGAACTTTTCTTTTTACAAGATGTTGAATATATTTTCATGTGCTATACAGTCGGTCCTTGTTTATTTTATATATGTTAAATAGTAGTGTATATCTCTTAAACCCAGATTCCCAGTTTATCCATCCCTCCTTCTTCCCTCTTTGGTAAACATAAGTTTGTTTTCTATGTCTGTGAGTCTCTTTCGGTTTTGTAAATAAGTTCCTTTGTGTCATTTTTTTAGATTCCACAAATATTTGCCTTTCTCGGTCTGACGGTATGATAATCTTTAGGTCCATCCATGTTGCTGCAAGTGGCATTATTTTGTTCTTTTTTATGGCTGATTAATATTCCATTGTATATATATTTATACCACATTTTCTTTATTTATTCATCTGTTGGTAGGCATTTAGGCTGTTTTCTTGATTGTTACATCTTGGCTATTGTGAAAAGTTCAGGTATAAATGTTAAGCTGCATGTATCTTTTTGAATTAAAGTTTTCATCTTTTCTGGATATGTGTCATAAGTGGGATTGCTGGATCATACGGCAACTCTGTTTTTAGTTTTTTAAGGAACTTCCACACTGTTCTCTATCATGGCTGTACCGACTTACATACTGACCAACAATGTAGGAGGGCTCCCTTTTTGCCACATGCTTGCCAGCATTCGCTATTTGTAGACTTTCTGATGATGGCCACTCTGAGCAAAGCGAGGTGCAGCTGTTAAGATTTTTATCACCATCATTTTTAATGGTCCCAACCATCATCTCTCCCATTTGGGGGCCAGCTGGCTTCTGTGATAGCTCAGTCTGTAAAAAATCCTCCTATACTGCAGGAGACCCCCGTTCGATTCCTGGGTTGGGAAGATCCCCGGGAGAAGGGATAGGCTACCCACTCCAGTATTCTTGGGCTTCCCTTGAGGCTCAGCTGGTAAAGAATCTGCCTGCAATGCAAGAGACCTGGGTTCAATCCCTGGGTTGGGAAGATCCTCTGGAGAACAGAAAAGCTACTCACTCCAGTATTCTGGCCTGGAGAATTCCAGGGACTAGACAGCCCATGGGGTCACAAGACTCGGACATGACTGAGCAACTTTCACTTTCACTTTTGCTTGTACTTTCTAGGCTGCCCTGTGCACCTCACCCCTACCCATATAGACTTTGTAAAACTTTACATTATGAAGATCTTTGGTAGAGAGAAGAGCGTAATAAACCCTCAGGTACCCATCTTCCAGCTTCAAAGATGAAGACATCTCCAGTCTTGATTATGTAAGCTCTCCAAAAAGACTTCCCCAGCTTGTGCCCCACACACTGCTGGCTCAGGAAGTGTCTGTGCCAGCGAGCTCATGAAGGCCAGTCCCGCTGCCACAAAAACCATGCCCAAGAGCATGCCAGGCGGGCTCTGGTGCCTCTAGTTTTCTGCTCACTCCATTCTGCCTCCCACCACAGTGTCACGACGGCACAACGAGCATTTGTTGATGTCACACACATGCTGAGTTCCTGGTCCATGCCAGTCCCTGACCAGAGCTGCAGCGGCATCAAGAAGATGTTGACCTAAATAGCGGCCTCAGACACTCATGAGCAAATAGGGTGATAAATCACAATTATAATTCAACCTCCAGACACAGTGCCTGAATGAACTGGCTCCCCTGCATCTTTATCCACCTTGATCTCTTGACATGCCTGTCTTGCAACTTATGCTTCCACCTGTGAAATGTCTGGAGCTGCCCAAATGACACTGGCCACATTCCTCCTGCCCTGTCCATGTTCATCTCTTTGCCTGGTATGCTGACTTGGCCGGGGTCACCGGTGTTGGAGGTTGAATGATACCCTGCCCCAAAGGTATCCACATTTTAGTCCCTGAATATGTTACCTTACATGGCAAAGGGGACTTTACAAATATGATTAGGTTAAGGATCTTGATGTGGGGAGATGACCCTAGGTTATCTGAGTGGCTTCAATGTCGTCACAAACAAGGATCCTTATAAGAGACAGGCAGGAGGTTTTCCCAATAGTCAAGTGTAGATGTAAGTGTTGGACCGTAAAGAAGGCTGAGTGCTGAAGAATTGATGCTTTTGAACTGTGACACTGGAGGAGACTCTTGAGAGTCCCTTGGACTGCAAGGAGATCCAACAATCCTAAAGGAAATCAACACTGAATATTCATTGGAAGGACTGATGCTGAAGCTGAAGCTCCAGTATTTGGTCACCTAATGTGAAGAGCAACTCACTGGAAAAGACCCCGATTCTGGGAAGGATTGGGGGCAGGAGGATAAGGGGATGACAGAGGATGAGATGGTTGGATGGCATCACTGACTCAAGGGACATGAATCTGAACAAACTAGGAGATGGTGAAGGACAGGGAAGCCTGGAGTGCTGCAGTCCATTGGGTCACAAAGAGTCAGACATGACTCAGTGACTGAGCAACAACAAAGAGGAGCAAGAGGGAGAAGCTATTAGGATAGAAGCAGAGATCAGAGAGGAGTGAAGATGCTCTTCTGCTGGCTTGGAAGAAGGAGGAAGAGGCCATGAGCCAAGGAATACGGGGAGCCTCTAAAATCCAGACAAGGCAAGGAAAAGAATTCTACCCTAGACCCTCTAGAGAGAGCCAGAGCATCTTGACTTTAACTAAGAAAGCCTAATTTCAGATATCTGCCCCCAAAACTGTGAGAGAAATAATCTGCATTGTTTAGGCCACTGAGTTTGTAGTAATCTGTTATATCAGCTATAAGAATTAACAGACTACAACTACATCTGGCTAACACCCAGCCGTCCTCCAAGACTAGGCTCTGCCATCATCTTCCTGAGAAGTGTTCACTGACACCTGCATTATTGTCACATCCCTGAGGCCTGGCCTCCCAGGCTAGGTTGGACGACCCTCATAGGTACACCTCATCCCACCTCTATCAAATCACCGGCCATCATACACTGTAATTGCACGTTTATTTGCCTATCTCTGGTATAGATGGTGAGCTTCTTGACCCAGGGACTGTGGCTCCACCTCTGCACTGCTGGCACTGCATATAGCACCAGGCACATGATGTATAGTCCAGAGGGGTTTGTGGAATGGGTGATAAAGGCCGTGAGGAGCAAACACTGGAAGCAAAAGAGGAGGTCAGAGGCAAGCCCAAAGGACTCCTCCTGGGAGAGGTGGCATGTGACTCCCTTCTCCAAGGAGACTGCAGTAAGTCATGATCAAAGTTAGATGGCAGATGGGAACATCTAGATTCACTTAAGTAGACACTGAAAACAGAATGAAAGCACTGCCATCTGCCAGGTGTGTCCTGAGTACAAGCTCAGCACTGAGTCCTGGGTCCAAGAACTCTGTCGGGTACTTGGTGGTCGTGGTGTAGCTCACTGCCTTGAGTCTGATCTCCTCGTGTGGATGCATCTGACCTGGACAACAAATGGACCTCGGGATATGCCACAGGTCAAGACCCCTGGGGAGAAGACTGAGATGCAGTTTGGTGGGCAAGACATGTATTAAGGTTGCTCTTGGGATTCATACCTGTGGGAGGAATTGAGCAGAGAGTGAGGCTAAGCTGTGATGCAGTCTAATAGAAGCTCATCTGCCCTGCAGGATGAGCCTTCAGAGTGGTCCTGAGTTGGGCAAAGGGGGCTGGGCCTTTATAGCCCCTTAACAATCAGCCATTGGATGGGGGACACACCAGAAAGGGAGTATGACCTTGAGTGGACTTGCTGAGTCCTCATAAGTTGCTGGCAGCCAAGGACTGTATCTTGCAGCTTTCCCAGCAACTCAGGAAGCAAGTCCTTCATTCCCAGGGGGTCTGGGTGGTCTGTCATTGAGTTTACCACACAATGAGTTTGCAAAATGCAATTGACCCCACCTAAGACTGCTCTCCAGACAGTACACTGAAAATGCAAAGGCCTGCCTTGCATCAGCAACAGGAGATGTGAGAGCAGCAAGATCACAGTCTTTTCTGTTATGACCTTTCCAGAAGCTAGCATTTTCATAAACTGTATTTAGTAGGATTTGAAGCTTTCTTTCCAGTGACCTGGCCTAAGGAGACAGGAATTATAGGTATACTTCTCATTAGACCAGACACAGTTGCTTCTTACGTCAAATTCTAGAGATCCTGGGGATGTCATTTCAAAAAAAAAAAAAGTGTCTGGTGATGGGGTTCACTATTCTCACTCAAGAATGTGGTTTTCTGAGAAGTGTCCCTAAATGCGCCACTGATTCTGCCTGGAAAGTGAGCAGATTTGGGCCAGTGAGTGCTCAGAGAGGCCATAAAGCTGTGATAGAGTCGTTGCTACAGAAACTGCACATCTCTTCATATAATAACAAAATGAACAGTGACTGAAATTTGAGGTCTAGGTCTCTGCTCCCTTTCAGCCCAGAAAACTGGGCTCATGCACATTCAAACTAATCTCCTCTCATCTCTGTTGCATTCCAAGTGTGAAGAACTTACCTTGGCGATTTGTTTAGCTTGGTTTCACCCATCAGCAAGTTCTTAGCTGTTTTTTTTTTTCAGTCCACTCACTGTTTTGTAGATGAGGTGAGTAGATAGACATGGAGGGATGTCCCTCATGTCCTTATCAGCTTTGGGCTCACAGAGAAAAACACACACGGAGCATTTCTTACACTCGGATTTCCATTATGATTTTGGTAAGTGTTCGTCTCCCCTACGTCCTTTAACAGAAGTGTGTTGTGTTCACCCATTCATCACTGGCTGCCTATCTCGGTGTCTGGCAACTTAAAGAACCCCTGACCCATGAG